TATCAGTCAGTTCAGCTTTCACACATATATATGAATATATTATTTTTCTATCCGATGGCATCCCAGAATGCCACAAGCCGAATTAATAGTGGTGGTAGTCACTTTCAAAGCAAGCAAGTCTAAAAAGTTAGTATCAGAAATATGAAACATGTATAGGTAAGCATGTTAGGATAGAGGGCATAGTTGTGCATTTGTGTAATTTTTAGCCATCACTGGAGTACATTTCTTTTTTAGACTCCAAGGGGTAGTCAACTATGGCACTCCAGCTGTGTCCAATCCTTTGTTACGTTTTCATTGCTGTTTGTGGCCTCGTTGCATTGGGGATTTTCCCTCACTTTAAAAGAGATTTCCTCTTACTTCCCAATTTGTCTCTTGGACAGGAAGTAAAAGGGAAATCTCCCTGACAGGACACAGACTCAAAAAAACTGTAAGGGATTGAGACCCTTTCCTACTATGTCCAAAACGAAAAAAAAAAAAATCAGAGATGAAAATACAGTTTTGGGCTTTACATACACTTGAGTGGGGTGAAACCACAAATTCCATCATTCATCTGCCTCTGGGAGTCATGTCTGACTGTCAGGGCTGGTGCACACCTAGGGAATTTATTGCACAAAACAGAGATCTGCAAGCAAGTCAATTCAGCCTGGTCACAACTTTGCGGCACCTGGCCGAAATCATCTAAAAAGGTGCAGGGGCCATTTACGGGCGGTTGCTGCGCGTTTTTTTGAATGCACAGAGATGTCTATGAGACCCAAATCGCGCGACAACCGCACCTATACCTTTTTGCGCGACAGACAATTTTGGCATCTCTATGCATTGAAAACCGTGCGACAACCACATGGTTTTCAAAGCAAAATGGTGCAAACAAAAATGCGTGACAACAGTGCGAAAGTAGCTCACCAGCGCAATTGCCTAGATGTGAACCTAGCCTCAGAATCTTGCAATGCCTAACCGAATTTGTGGCTACACCACAGCTGGCGGGCCGGAGTTTGCCTATCTCTGCTTTATCGATTCAGAGATACAATTCCCAAACATGGAGCATTCCCAGAACAGATGAGCTAAAGGAGCGCTAAAGGGCACCTTTCAAGAGTTAGACCATTTATAAACAGACACTTTTAGACATGGCCAAGCTTTACAGCCTAAAATAACTAAATTTTAATGGGAACCATATTCTACTGCCAAGCACCAAAACACTTACACATCCTTCTTGAAGATCAGTAGAGCCTTCTTACAACAGAAGATATTTACAAGTCTCACTCCATCACAAATCCCCAAAATAAGAAGATTATGCCCAACATGTATGACAAACAGTAAGGAGAACTCTTGGGACTGGTCATGAGACAAATGTTCTAAGGGAGCTCTACTATACTTTGCACTGGTTTAAAGGTGGGCTTACTGGTTCATTTTAGCCCACTTCACAATAACCTGTCTGGTTATACTTTCACAATTTTAAATATTGTTAGAAGCCTATTCCCATAGGTCAATAATAGGCCAACCACACCTTTTAGGATTGAGGTAATTTAAGAAAAAACTACAGAGGAGACAAGCGAGCAGACGAGACACACGAGCTGGGGTCAGTTAGAGAGTTTATTAGAAGTTAGAAAGACATGTACACAAATCAACATACACTTCGAAGATTAGTAGAAGCACAACTGCCAAAAAAGTCACACTAAGACTCAAATAGTTCTAAATCCCATTAATACTCATGGCGGGAGACCCATTAACATCCACAGTTGATGGTAACCACACAACAGGTCTCCACTGACAGTATTATCAAGCATTTGCAGTACATGCTTTTATTTCTACAGAGTACAGTTTCTGTGCAGAGGTCCTCGACATGCCACTAATGGACCCCGAGATATTTAATTACCTTCAGTAAAAGAGCAACTAGCTTAGAAGTGCTTTCCTAGCGACTGAATACATTGGAATAACACATCGCTGTATGACTGGATTACAGATCTTATAGCTAGATAACAGCTGGACAAAGCTACACATGTACAGTGTTGAGAAGGGGAGGAAAAAAAAAAAGTAGTGTAGGAAGAAGTGTCAGCTCTTTTGGCGAGTATGGTCAATTTACAAAGGAAGTGTGTATGACAGCTCAGATGGAAATCCTACAAAGGAGGTGCTAGAACACAGCGGTCAGTACTGGAGAGAGAGGTTAAAGCTTGAGATGGAGCGCGTCCGTCATGCAGGAGACAGAGTTAGAGTCACACAAGGCATCTAGGCCTGTGGAAGAGAAACGTAAACAAAGACACCTCCATGAAAGCTCTGGAGACTGTATTAGCGGATTTACCCTACAGACAACAAGCTCAGAAACAGTATTTCTAGGTCACATTGTTAAAGTCAACCTATCATGGGGACTTGGGAGCAGCTAATGCGGACTTCATTTACAACCTGGAAGCTCCCAGGCAATCACTCTCTAGCTGCACACTCCTTCAGAAGTCACTAACCTGCAAAAAGTATGCAGGTCAAAAGGTTCACAATTAATCTGAACCATATTTGTTGCGGGACAAGAAATTGAAATGTAGCTGGAGAATGATAGCCTGGAAATTAGCAAGTCCTAAAACCATCTGGCTGGGGCAGCTTCCACAAGGCCTTCAGGATAGGTTGCCCTAAAAGTGTACCTGTGACCAGACTATGGGCATTTAAAAGATATACATACTCTGAACAGGCAGCAAATGAGCTTTGAAACAAGCACTGACTGAACTCACTAACATCTCTAGCTGCAGGGACTGTGTAACAATTCATCCACAAACAAAACAGGATCAGAAATCCACTTGCAATTCATTTCTGAACAGCTTATGGCCCATGCAGTTTGTCTACATTAGAAGGCTGGCAGGCTTCAAAGTATCTTCTACATGTGGAATCATGGGAAGATGAGATGTGATTTTAGTGCTTATGTTGGGATTTGTTGGTCCACAGTGTTTGCAGATATAGAGGTCTGTAAGGGTTTGCTTTAAAGCTCATTTACGGATTGTAAGGAATATGTAGACACTGGAATGTCCATAACCTGGCCACAGTTTCACTTTGAAGATTATCAGGTTAATTATATTTAACGGGAAGGGAAAAAATCATCAGGGAAATGTTGCCCTCGGGAACTACCCAAGTATCACCTTTCATTCTCTGTGGGAAAATGATTAGTTATAATGGGCCACAACTTGATTTTTATTCCAGTTTTCATGAATTGGAGACATATACACAATATCCAATTAGGATTAATTCATTGAAATTTAAAGCTTTAACTTCTACCCAGACAGTTAGAATTTGCACTAAATTACTACTAAAAGCAAAAGATCTACTACTAGTTGTTAAATAGAGGATCAGATTCCTTGATTGGCAAGAAAACAGAGATAAAAAGGGAGCAAACCAGTTATAACAGTCATGGTGCTGGCCTACCCTCATCAATGGGAATAGTGTGTATAAATGATATACTGCTGCCCAGGAGCAGGCTGAAAATGGAATCAGCAGAATTAGATCCTGTGGGAATTTTTTTTAAATTGCGCAGAGTACAAACAGGGTCATGCTGAACATCTTTTTTGCAGAACTCATCTCATTGTATAATCTCATGTCTCCTAGGAGGTCAGACCGGTTAATTGTTCCAAACATACATCAGCAGCCATTGCGCCGCATTTGACATCGTCACTGCCTCTGCTTGGGCTGAATGATTTTCTGCTTGATAACTATGGTTTGCTATACTCCACTGGATGATGGTTGTCGGGTCGATACAAGTCATGTTATTAACATTTAAAAGGACATGTACCATCCAGACTGTTATAATTGGTCTGACAAGACAAAAACACACAAATGGAACACATTTTAGGACAGAATATCAGTGCAAGGTGAAGTGAGCATGTAGTTCTCAAAAACTTGTATGGGGACAATATTCAACATAATAGATGTGCATGTCATCATTAGATACTCTCATGGGAGGCTGGCCTAAGACAGATTTGGTAGTTCAGATCAAGTGGCCAGCAGTAGTGCAGATTAACCTAAATAATTATTTTCTAGCTACCATAATACTATACAGCACTCTGTGAAGTACAGTTATCAATCCAATCAGAACTCACTTAAAATTGAACTCCAGGTATATGTGAAAAAAGCCATTTAACTCAAAGTATCTTTAGATTGTTTTTTATACAAACCTATCACATGTACCCGATTTGGCCTACTGTAAGGCCTGGGTTAGGGGCAGACTGGAAAAGGAGGGTTAGCACTGTAAGCCAATAAGGGCTCTATTGCGTGCAGGGAAAATGTTAACAAAGGGGGAAAGTTGGGTGATAAAATCATCAGTGTGAAGCTGCATCTTAATTTGCCATTCATAGGAACGGGAAGATTCTAGAACGAGGATGTACTGCTGAAAAGCTGTGTAATCTGCAGAGAGGTCCAGGACATGACTGATGTGTAGCAGAAGTGACTGGCTCAACAATCCTTTGGCAAGCATGAGTTGTAAATACGCATACATCTGTTTGAATGGAGTTTAGCTTTAATTAAAGTCAGACTAGTACAAGATAAGATTATGATTGACTGCACTTTGCACACCATGCCTTGCCCTTTGCACCGCTTTACTGCATTTGCCTCCATGTGTCTGTGGTCCTGATGGCTTTTTTGATGTATAATGGTTTTATCCAGTTATGGTCTGTAGAATTTCAGTCAAGGTTACTCCTGCTCCCATCTCAATTTCCATGAATCCACATTGCAGTGGAGGTCAGTTACAACTCAATAAAGGGAATCACATACTTTATGCAGAAAAGAACTACACTGACTATTAAGCCATCAGAGTTGATGGATCTGGTGGACCTAAGACCAAAGTGTTCATCTAGACTCTACTGCTTCACCCAGAACATAAAACTGTGTTACTAGCTGAAGGGTTTACACACTTCATGCAGATTTAAAATAAAAGTGATCACTGTGAAACATAAAAGACATGCAGATGGTGCATTTCAATCAAGCAATGCAACATGCTTTAAGTTCATGAATAATTCATATAAGGAGGTTCTCCACACACACAGCTAAATATTAAACATTACTGACCTGTATAATGATGAAACTATACATTTAGAATAAGTTGTACATATAAATATTCTCATACTAAAAAAACTCACTGGATTGACAGCATGGAAAACCTCTTTATATAAATATCCGGACATTTTCAAATCATTAGGAAGGACATCTCATTGCTAAAGCCCAATGTATCATATTTTCTTCCAGGAAAGTCCTTGGAACCAACAAATTTTGAGTATTGAAGAACCATTAGCCAGACATATGTGGTATCTCTCACTGTTGGCAAGACACAAGCTGCACAGACCCTTTCTAGAGCATGCAGAATGGCTTTTGAATTAAAACTTTCTATACCAGGACAGAGGTCAAGTGATTCTGCAATTTAGAAGCAGGTTGTAAGAGTATTAGCTAGGGAAATAACCCCATTCTAGACACAGGTGGTGGGTACCCATGGACAGATATCAGGCACTAAGCAGATGCAGTATTGTCAACTATAGATGGACCAACTGCTCACCTAAGTTCCCTTTAGTACAGACACCAATGTCCTTAACAGGGAAAAATCTCTTCAGAGAATGCATGTGCACATGGAACACCTTCCTGCACAGGGATCTTAAAAGGAGAACTATGAGGTGAGTGCTTTTCACTCACCTCAAATAAAACATCGATGTCGGGATCCGCTCCGGCGTCTCAGTATACCGCGAGCTAGGCAGAGCCAGCTGTCACTCACGCAGCTGGGCGGATCTCGATATCGATGTCGGGATCCGCTCCGGCTGCGGCGTCTCAGTATACCGCAAGCTGTAGCTCGCGGTATACTGAGCTTAGGGTGACGGGAGGACGCTAGTTTGTGTCCTCCCGTTACCCTAAGGAGAACTATGGGGAAAAGCCCTGACCCCATAGTTCTCCTTTAAGGAAAGTTGGAACATCCCTTTCCAATGGCAAGAATTGTTCCTCATCACCTCCCAGGAAAGACCTATATGGCTGTTCGACACAATCGATGTTGAAACGGATGCATGGCTTGCAAACATTAGGCTATGAATGACTGCCTTAGCTTGCACAGGCCCAGCATTGTAGCAGGGGACCAGCATGCTTGCAGAGCCTCTAACTATAGTTTTACCACCATACAAGCTTGCATTGTGACTCAAGGAATTAAAGGTGGCACAAACGTTTACAAGTTGAACATTTTTTTAACATACAATGCACCATCCATACTCAATACCTTGGACTATCAGGTGCTTTGCCAACTCGGGCGATGTGATGTCATCTCGCATAGTAAAACATTTCTAAAGGTTTACTTGTCTCGTGTTACATCTCAATCAAGTGCTCCGTGAGGCTTTACCAAAAGAATAACTATGAGCTTTAGCATGAGGCAAGCACCCCACATTACCCATGTTAAGTCAATTTTTGGAGGAGGATAACAATACAAGGTCAACATACAAATAAGCAGGCAAAGTCATGCATAAATGTACCATGAACACAGGATGTCACAATAAAACAAAAGTATATGGAATGTGGTACTGTTTCCCCAGATGGCAAAATGACAACATATAAGAATGCATATATAATAAAAAAAATAGTTATTAGGTGAATTGAACATTAAAAAATAAAAATAAACTTCTATTTATAAATAGTAAAAAAATAATCTGCCTCTACCCTTGGGTGGTAACACATTGCTTTAGGAATCATTACTTCTGCCCATTTTGTAAAATATACTTCACAAGAAATACTCGTAATAGGAAAAGGGTAAAAAGGAAACCAGGCCGGCAAAATAATATCTACCTACACAGGCTTGTTCTGTAGATCCACTGCATGGAAGTTCATCTACTAATCTCGTTTACCATCCCTACATGCTGTCAGTGACTGTATGCTTGTACATATCAGATTTATTGCTCTGGTATGTTCCAATACATTCTTTCCAAAACCATTGATCAATTAATCAAAATCAGCAGCTAGAAAGGCCTACAGGCATACAAATATATGAGCAAAGTTTGTGGACACCTGACCACCACATCTACTTATATGACCAAAAAGATATGTAGACAACCCATCCGAATGATTGAAATCAAGTGTTTCCAGTGAAGGGTACTATTAATGCTACACGGTACAAAGATATGTTGGACAATTGTGCACTTTCAACATTGTGGTAACCGTTTGGGGAAAGCCCTTTACTGTTGCAGCATGGCTGGGCATATACACAATGCCAGATCCTTAAAAGACATTAGTTGAAGAGTTTGGTGTTGAGGAACCCAAGTGGCCTGCACACTGGCCTGACCTCAACCCTAACAAACACCTTTTGAATGAATTGGAACAGTAATTGCAAGCCAGGACTTCTCATCCAACATCAGTACCTGACTTCACGAATGCTCTTTTTAAAGAACGGGCACAAATTCCCATAGACACACTTCACAATCTTGTGGAAAGCCTTCTCAGAAAAGTGGAGGCCATTAAAAGTGCAAAGGAGAGGCCAACTCCATATTAAAGCCCATGGTTTTGGAATAGGGATGACCAACAAGCGCATACAGGAGTGATGTTCAGGTGTCTACAAACTTTCGGCAATATAGTGTGCTTACTTGTTTCTAAAATCAGACCATAAACTCCTCGACTGGGCAGACAGTAGCTCAAATCTGCAGGCACCTTTAGGAAGGAAGGTTTCTATGAAGCCTATGTCGCTATGCTAAGCAGTCAGCACGGGTCATTCTTCTGCCCTCCTAGGCCTAAGTATCTGAGCTCATATGAGGTTTTGCTGAATATGTGTGGATACAATACATTTACTGTACCAAGCAGAACTACTCCATCCACATTGACATGAAGGTCACTTAGCTCTGATGTGTCAGAGACTATCTGCAGAAGTAATTATAACTTCACCAGCCTGGTTACTTTGTTACCCTCTTTCCAAAATCAAACGGGTTTGGGGCCCAATTGACAGACCTAGAAATACTGTAAAGTACTTACTTTGTGTTAAATACGAAAAACATTAAGGTCACAGAACAGTAACAAGCTGAAAACAGCACAACATGCAGAAGTACAGAAGAAATGAAGGGAAGAGTACAGTACACAGTATAAATCAGCAGACTGGATTAGGCAGTATCCCATGCTTTTCATTGTCACGGTATTGATTACAGGAAATTGCATGAAGGTGGAATAAATGCTGATTGATTGTCCCAGTGCAAAATAAATGACATGGGGTATTAATAAAGAAACGGGTAAGTAAAACAAATTCTAATGATCTCTCTTTGAAGGAGCAACCAGGTAGGGAATAATGGGGGATTTTGCAAAAAGGGAATGTAAAAGGTTTATAAAGTGCTGGAATGTAGGTGCCGCCGCGGAGATGAACGCAAGACCAGATATGCTTCACAGTTCCCAAAGAGCCCAAAACTCACACGTTTAAGATCTGGTCTGCCCCTTTCTGCTTCTCACAACCAGCTACTGGCCCATGACTGTGATGGGCAGGCTCATTAACCAATAGCAAGCCAAGGGAGGCTGGAAGTATTTGTTCAGCTACTTCACAGTCACTTCATGTTTGCTTTAACTCAACAAATGTCAACAAAAAATGCTTTAAAAAAGCTCAAGCAAGATAATAAAACCTTAATTGAGATTCTCATTTGCATCACTGTTGGAAATCTTAAAACACTTTTTTTTCCCACCCAGTGCAGAAACATCTCTGCTACCCTGTAACTCTGAGTGGGAGATTTGATCAATGTACAAGGATCTTACAATGCACAAGCATGCAGCGTTGTTTTCTAGTGTCTGAAGGCTGCTCAAGGTGCCTAAAGCCATATCTTTTTTTCCCCATTTTGGAAAATTTCAGGTAAAACAAAATCAGAATGTTTATGCCATTGGGGAGATACCCTTCTCTTTATATCCAGTAAAAACAATTGAGGAACTTATCCCCAATATGAGAGAATCCCCTGTCAGGTGCCACTGAAACATGTCAACTGTATTCCTGCTTTGATGACCACTAAAACTTTTGGATTGTCACTCATTTTCTCAGAGGCAGTGGTCACCAGGACAAATACAGTCAACTGGGGACACAGCATTAAAAACCTCATATGAATTCTAACTCCTCACCACAACCCAAACCTTAATAAAAAATAAAAAAAAAAGAGCTTTAGATACAGATCATCAAGTATGTTTGTGCCCAAAAATTGGATGGATGCTTTATAAATGGAAACTTGGTGATTTTTCAGCATTACCAGCCACATGGGCTCGGAGGGTTGAAGGACAATGTTGTTATACTTTCAAATATAGCTAGATCCCCTGGATTGGAGACAACATAATCCCTAACATCCTATTTAGTCCCTCACTGTGAAACAAAAACCTTCAGCAGGTCTGTGTGGAGCCCTCGTAGTTAAAGCTGGTAGGAATCTGCTATAAAAGTTTACTAAATGCATAGCAGGCCTGTTTTTGGTGGATGCGCAACGTTCTCTTCAATAAGGCTAAAGTGCCCAACTACCAAGCAAAGGCTTCTATGGAGGAGACAATCCGAGCCCTCTCCATCTTGTGGGTCCTAAAGACCTTCTTGCCAAGCAGTTAGAGCGCTAATAATTGGCCAAGTCTGATCCACAATCTTAAATGATTTTTCACGATTTCCGTCAGAAGAAAATTAATTTGTCAAAAGAATTAAAAAAAAAAAAAAATTCCCGATGCAAAATAATATTTTCCAAGTGAGATCAGTTCATGATCCTCTAGCTTTAACGAAATGTGAATTTGGACAGAAACTTAACCGGGAAAAGCTCAAACAAATAATTAACAGGGATTAGAAACTATTTAACCATACAGACAACAGCAAAGCATTGGAAAAGACCAACATATCTAACGGTCTACAAAAAAAGTTTTATTTCTAAGTGCTAAAGAAATACTCAGACTTTTATAATGCAGAAGCGCAAAGAGCAACAATTGTGAACAAAGTACAGTAATCCAGATTTTGGTTTATCTGGCCGCAGTGCGATCGCCCGCACCGGAAAGCGTGGCACATCAATGTCTGCGTTCCGGTCTGGAAAAAAAATAGTGCCTGCAGCATTTTTTTCTGACCGCACGGAACCAGAACTCATGCGTTACAGTGCGTGCAAAAATCACACTGCGGCCGGAGGGCGTGGCTGCGGTGCCATTGACTTAAATGCACTACCCCTCCCACCCCAAAACAAAGTGAGTTGGCTGGAATTCGATCCAGTGCGTTCCGGCACCAATCGGGCCTGAAAAGACTAGTACTGGTGTGAACTAGTCCTTAAGCTCAATTGAACTCTAGTGTAAAACTATGTCAATAGCTTACAGATGCAGCCACCCATAGCAAAACGGCCTGTCCCCTGACATCATGCAGGTCAGAACTGCTTTATTGTGTGTGGAAGCAGCAGTCTTTCTGCTGCAGTCAGACATGCACCCTGGGCAATAGAGCTCTCCAGTAAGCAGGGGGCATGAGCTTTGCTGATTGCAGATCTCTAGCTCTGCCCACAAAGAGCATGCTGAACTGCTGCAGAGAGCTCACTGCTTCCACACACACACACAGCAAAGGCTTTTCTCTGCAGCATGAGGGCAGGGGACAGGCTATTTTACTATGGCTGCTTTACCAGGTAAATGAATGTTAAAACTCTGATCACTTATTATACTGTAACAGGAAGCTATTGACAGAGATCTGTTTTACCCGAGTTCATAAGGGCTTTAAATAAGTGAATGATGAATTTTGATTGGTTTCTACAGATTACTGGACTTTGTAAATTGCTCTCTCTTATTATTGCTATCAACACTAGAGGAAAAAAATCAGGAAACCAATAAAATGGGACATTCAATCAGCATCACAAGATAAGGCAAAGAGGCCAGATGAAAGATTATGGAAATATTAACACATCAGGCAGGAGGTTCGCTGTACATTATTCTTGTTATTTCAGAACAGGATTATACCAGCATGCGGATCACGTTAACGTGTTTTAGATTGGTTACAAAGCCAAATTGTCCATTATTTGGCCACACTGTGTACTGCACTTACCCCGTTCCACTCTACGCTCATACTCACTTCCTCCCCTCCATCTGGACCGCTCTCGTACTTTACCACGTCGAGGCTCTCCCGGCTTCTCCTCTTCTCAATGCTTTCTGGGTCATTTAACACTTCGGCCACTCGCTGCTTGTGGACATTGTCTAGTCCCTGTGAGACAGGACCCTTGTGTTACAAGTAAAGGGAGAAAGTCCCTGAGATTTATGTTAGAAGAACACAGAGTGACTGTAAAAGGTCAAGGCCTGGAAAGGAAGACCTTAAAGCCGATGCCTGGTTCCTTTCCAGGACAGGGATCAGTAGCAGACCCCGATACCTTGACATAATGATAACACCAAACATTTCACAGAGCTGCCACCAGAACTCATGTGATGATGCAGATAAAAGGTCTCATTAGGGCAAAGGTATACACATGCTGTAAAAACAGATGGCAGGAGATGCTAACCCAATTTTCACTTATGAAGCTTTTGATGCATCTCGAAAACCTGAAGCAACTGTGTATCCAAGCAACAAGTGGCCAGAAAACACGAGTAGAGAGATTTGCACCTGCTACAAAGAGGCTGGTACATGACGATCCATAGACTTCCATGGAGCCATCTCCTGAGGGCAGAGCTGCTTGGGACACCGCCCAATAAACAACTTTGGGAAGCTACTGCACAAGAGCTCCACTCTTTCCCAAAACGCAGTATGTAAACTACTTGTGGTTCCCACTCAAGCGAAAGCTATCAGTGAGGATGGTACTACAAGGCACCTTGCTTTAAAGTGACTCTGACACCAAAATTTAAATTAAAAAAGTGTCCTAGTAAAAAGATTAATACTCATCTCTCCTGCTGCTCGTGCCACCAATTTCTGCAGAACTAGATACTTCTGCTAGAAGAATCTTCAGAATCTGACACTCCCAAAGTGTCCATCTCCTTGTCCCCCCTGTGCTCCATAGTTTCTTCCACCAACCTTTACTTTCTCCTTTAGTTACACTAGGGCCAGTGAGAGGAACCACACAGTGTCAGATTGTGAAGATTCTGAAGCTTGTGGTTTCTCTTTGGCCTGGTTCACACTGAGTGTTTTGAAGTGCTTTTTCTGCCCCCAAAAAACACTCAGAAAATATGCACCAAAAAAAAATCCCATTAATTTCTATGGCCTGTTCACATCTGAGCCTTTTGTAGCAATAAGCAAAATGCCTGCCACTGGGAAAAGGACATGAGCTTTTTTTTGGCATATTACAACTCGTTTTGGCCTCAAAGACCTAACACTTGAAAACATGCGTTCTGTGTTTTTGCATGTTTTTATGCACGTTTGCTCATACATCAATGAGCTGCAATCTGCTCCGAAAAACGTGCGATTTATGTGCATAACACATGCAAAAAACGCACAAAAGCGCTGTCACCTAGGTGGGAACCCAGCCTTAAATACAGCAGAGTGGTAGGTGGGAGTGGTAAGCATTAACTTTCTTCTTTGTAGTGGTGCAAGTACTAACTAGACTATCAGCATGATTGCAAAACAATTATTTTCTGTACAATCTCAAGAGCAGCAGACTCTATTTTTCTCATGGCAGGCCTTTTAGCTGCAGGCTGTATTAGGAAAAACAGTGAATGCGCACACCCTAAAATTATATCATCAGTGTATTTAAAGTGACACTAAACTCAGGAGTTAAATCTTATAAATACATTCAAGTACCTTAACTATTAACAAAAATGTATCTTATTTGTGTATCACACGGGCTGTAGATCCTCCAATCATCTCTGAATTGGTGCCGACACTGTCCTTCCTTCTGGAGGGGGGCTACTTTTGTTCCCCATGGTCCCTGTGTGTGTTGTAAAGTAGTCACTGATCCAAGCTCGCTAAAGTGATGTACTACAATCCCAATACAAATTAGTAAACCCAATGTGAGATTGTAGTCCATCTGTGATATTATAACACAGAGAGACCAGGAAGTAGTCCAAGCCGACTTTAAAGTGACATTAAACCCTCAGATCTTTTAACATAAACCAATACTGTAATCCATGGTAGTTTCCCTTCTCTTTGCTGTTCTTCCTTTTAAATCCTCATGTCTTCTCATGCTGGGGGAGAACTTCCCTTTGCAGCTGAGTGCCTCTTCCTGTAGTGCTGGCTCAGGTTGCAAACCTACACACAGACACCGTGTATCCATTTCAGAGACAAGGCAGTCTGCTGCAAAACAGAAGTTCTGCCCAGCATGAGAAGAGATACAGATTTAAAAGGAAGAGCAGCAATGAGAAGGGAAACAACCATGGATTACAGTAATGCACACATTACAGTATTGCTTTATGTTAGCTAGGCTAGAACCTTAACGTCACTTTAAGCTTGTGTACAATCCTCTTTCCCAAACCTAAAATTGATGAACTTGTGATTACATCTAATATATTTCATGATAAATCAGCAATTTTACATTTCTGCATCACACTGAGCTCTGTGAGCAAGCATGGAAACATGTTGATACAGTCACAAATCACTTCAGAAATGGACTACTGAACTCAGCATGCCAACACCAGGACAATGAGCACAAATGTCACATGACAGTACAAAACAGAACAAATAGAGACCATGCAATTTTATTTTACTGCATATGACTTTCTGACTGAGGGAAGAGCTCTTTTCAGTATCAGTTGGGGCCAGGGGAAGGTCAGAGGAGAAGGTAAGTGCTGTAGTCCTGGAGATGTGTCCCATCAGGACATGCATGGGGGGGAGCTAGGCTAGAACCAGTGTGCTTACTGAGATGCAACCAGACATTACCCAGTGATCCTACTTATTTTGGAATTGAAAATGTCAGAAGATATGTGGGTAATTGTTAGACTACACAGATATTTCTGAGCATTCCTAGATCTGGAATGTGAAGGGAAAATGGAATGCATGGATATGAATATCCATTACTTCTTTATTTCAGGTATTGATTTAAAAACTCAACTGCAGCTTCAATATGTATTACTGTAATGCAGCCAGGCTACATGTACAGTAATACACACACTGTACATTCAGATGCTGCAGTAAGGGTCATCACGGTCTCACACACATAGGTAGTGACCCGGGACTCTAGCGGTCTGACATGCCCACCTACACATTGCTCCAATCAACAGTGCTGCTCAGGGTGCTAAAGTGCTGTTGATTAGAGTAGCGTGTAGGGAGTGTAATGATATGCAGGAGACCTGGGCCCATGCTTGTGTGTAAGAGTCTGACTCAGCACGTGGCATTGCAGTACTATGGAGGCTTCAATTGGGCTTTAAAAAGGAAACTAATGCTGTTACATATCCATTAGAAATACATGTATTTTAAAAGCAACTTGCGTCAACTACCTAAATTTGTCTTAATATCAGCTTGTTTGTAATCCCCTGGGTTGTCTGGGACAGAGAAAAATCAGGTGCGCCAGACCAAATTTTGCCAAGACTCTGGATGGTTTTGGTCTTGAATGGGATGACAATTATAAACAAAAAATCTCAGTGTTAAGAGCAGGCTCCAGCAGCTGATTGAAAAGCCCCTGTAGGTGGCTTATGGCTTGTCCTTTTGACATTTTGTGACTATATAAATTCTGCATGGCCCCCCAACATTTGGTCTGGAGCTTTGTAAAGGTTTTTTTTTTCTGTACCACTCAAATTATACTGGAGGCACCCCTGGGATCACTGTGTGTCCATGAGCTGCCAAACACAGCCCACTGTGCACTTCCAACATGGTCTAAATTTTGACTGTGGGAGAAATCTATATTTGGATCCAGTGCACCCGAAATCAATCTCTCTCTGGTTCAGGACAATAGCTTTGCAGAAACACAAATCGGTTCCTATGTATATATTTGTGTGCCTTTAGAGGCTTTCCTGGAGTTTAGTTTTAATAAAAGCCCTAGGTTATGTGGTCCAAACCACCACTTGCACAGGGAATTAGTGATGAGCAACATCCTCTAATTCTGCTTCATTCATCACCAATCCAAACCTGGTCAGGTTTGATTAGGATAGATGACCTTAAGGACGTAGCTTAGAAATGACACTAAAATATCAGGTTTTCTGTATGGGATAGGCAGTAGGGAATTTGACCAGATGTCTTGGGAAATACTGTGCCTCCTCTGCATAACAGATGCATTACAATAGGAACTCAACAGTAGTCTAATCTCTAAAAAAAAGAACTAGAAAATGTATGTCTGTGTGCCATCACATTGATAGCTATTTGGGAATAAAGTCAAAGACTTCTAAAATGCTAAAGATCACATTTAAAAGGGTCCTAATCTGACTATATTGCAATGTGCTAAAAAGGGGAATAAGCCACAAAATCCAGACGAAGGACCCCAGATACCCCACTTACCTGTTTCCGTGACCTCATTGCTGCCTCCTCTAGTGTTTCTGCCGCTTCAAACTTGCCCTGACGTCTGTAAAGTGCTCCAAGGTTTTTCAGGGTAGTGGTCACTGTGGGGCTGAAGATCGCATAACCTTATATATTTGCAGGGGGCATGTAGATATTTTTTTTTTTGTTAAAACAGCAATTTTTGTATGCATTGAAAAGCTGTAACACATACATGCAATCTAAAGGAAAGCACAGAAAGTGGTTGCGATAAAAATACAGTAGAGCTTTTTTTTATCCGATTCTAGCCCCTTAGACCCACATTCAAACCAGGGCGGATGCGTTTCAGCACGAATTTTAAAAGGGCGTTTTAGCGCTGAAACGCAATTAAAAATCCCCCCAAAACACACTGATCAGCACGGTTCCATTGAAATCTATATGGAATTTTCGCCGATCAGCGTAAAAAAAAAAAAGGAGGTCAGGTAGATCGTGCAGAGCCGAGCGATCGCATGAACGGTCCCCATAGGAATGTATGGAGTTGTTCATGTCGGCGGTTCAGCGCTGACAAATCCGCCCTGGTGTGAACGGGGCCTTCTATTTGACAGTTACAGGCGTCAGGAAGTAAAGATGTTCACAAAGCAATGGTGCATCTTCACCCTCACTTACCTATCAACTTTGCATGCTTTATACCAGCCTCCGTATTCTCCAAATGTGCCATCCTTTTGTTTACCCTTTAAAATAAAATAAAAAATAAATTGAACCCTCAGAGTTCTATTTATGCTATGATGTTCCTTATGATGGACACAGCACAGTGAAGAACCACAAAAAAAAAAGAATGAAATAAGGAAAAACTAAAATGAACTGCAAATAGTTTACCAGTAGGAGTGTTCATTTATGGGAACAGGGTTTTAAACACATTTTTTCTATTTAATTTTAAGTGCTAGAGAACAAATACAATTATTAAAAATAGATTATAACATTAAAAAAAAAAATCATACATGATGCGTGGAATTAGTTAGCGGTATTCCAATAAATGGGATTAATTTAATACTATATTATATGCATTTCTCTAATATTGGGAATTTAAATATAGTAAATAGATTCTATTTAAAAATCTAATACAATAATTTTTTTTTAAAGTGTAAAGAGGAACTTTAAGAAATGGCAATTAAAATGGTAGACAATTCCCAAGATTGGGAATAATAATAATAATAACAACACACTGTATATATACACTATGCAAAATATGAAATATATTGAAATATAAATTAAGTCACAAACAAGTGCTTTAAGAAGTCAAAATTAAAAAAAAAAAGTTCAAGCCCTGTGACCATTAACCAGCTGTACTCACGCCAGTAGTTTGTTGAATAAAATCATTTTAATCTTTTTCTAATCTGTGAACCTTACTTTGAACTTTTCTCTTTCTTCAGCGTGCATCCAGATAGGTTTGTTCTCATCTGCAAGGACATAAAAATAGAAATGAAGATCTTACAATGACAGCTACTGATTAGATCTTACATTATACAGAGTGACTGTGTGCACAATCTGAACAGCTCCACAAATCCAGTACTGATGAAGTGGAGGGGAAGAGAAATACAGTATATAAATTATACTGGTTTTCATCTTTCCCATCCCGTGGTTGAATGCATGTAGAACATGTGGAAACTGCGTCCAGCATCTGCATCTCCGTCCTGAAATTGTCACCCTCACAGAAGAGGATAAGGAATTATCAGAATGAGAAAACCCAGAGGCACAGACCCAACTGACCAAAAAGCAATGCGAGATTGAAATGAGCAGACTGGCAAACCAAAGGAGGAGGGTATGATTTGTGTACTACACTCTGGGGAAAATGTACATGCCTGCAATTCTTCCATAGTCGTTTTTGAGCTGCCCTTTACAGGGTCTCATATAATAGCATACTAAGAAAGACTAGTAATGTGCTATAATAAATGCAAACTTCTCAAACTTTACTGTAGTGGCACTAATAAAAGCATATTTAGTATTTCTTTAGGCTACTAAACATCAAGTAAAAGTTCATGTTTGAACAAAATGGAAAAAAAAAAAACTAGAAATAAAAAAAATTAGTACACATTTTTAATACATGCACATTTAACCATGTTCTATCCAACAAAAAAAGCCCAGTTCAGGTAAACCCTTCTTGGCTTACAAAAGTTGAAGAGCAGGGGAGGTGTTCTGTGGTCCAGCATGGAAGAACTGGACAGGGCCGATACTACAGGAAGTCTGGAGCTCACCAGATTTCTGGCAGATCAACTTTTCTACATCTATTATTTTTCTGCACGTGCAGTGTCTTTGAAAAGAAAAAAAAATTCTATTTATTTTACTCAGACATATACACTTGGGGTTCATTTAAACTAGTCAGCGCCATCTACAGGCGTTTATGCCATGTGAACTGCATCCGCCCATTGTATACCCACGAACCCCTCTAAATTTGATTCCAGGGACTACAATAAAAAAGAAGCAAACTATGGTTTTGTCCTGGTCCACGATTCAATTTAGAGGTTAATGGGATCACTAAGTAGTTCTGTTACTTTTAAAACATCTTACACAATCCAGGTGACACTCATTATGAAATACAGTAATGGTACAGTGGCAATAGTCTATATTGCCACCAACTGAAAATATGACACATTTTAGCATGAAAATTATAAATTAATAATCCCCGAATGGTTATATACGGGTCTATTCTTTTTGTTTAATCCGCTGAACGAGAAAAAAATAGAACCGATTCCTCTTGCAACGCTTACAAGCGTTGGACAAATCCCCCGCTGTTTGCATTGTATTCTAACAATGGCCGCCAGCTCCATTCGGTCGAGAATTTTCCAACCTGCTTCTTCGATCAGCTGATTGAGGATTGCCGGGTGGAAGGGTGCTGACAGCAGCACCCACCGTGCTAATATTGGTCAGTTCCTGATGAACTACCATGTGTACCCTACTTTAGTCGGTCATGGAAGGACTATTTTTCTATTCATCCAATAAATTTAACACAATCAGTAACTTCAGAATACATTATTAGATAAAACTATGCTGCAGGAATCTAATTTTATAAAATATATATATATATTTTTATTTATAGTCCAAACTCTTACCGTCAACTGATCCAAATTCCCTTTCATGTGCCCGTGTCAAGATTTCTTTGTACAAAGTCTCAGCTTGCTTGAACTTGCCTTGTTTCAGATAGCAAGAAGCCTGAAACACAAAAACATTATTAGTCATACTTGGGGAGACAAACACAAGTCAAAGAAAACAATAGCACCAATTATGAAAGAAAAAAACCAAAACACCTGGAAGAAATCTAGATTCATACCTTAAGAAAAACAATTTTTAATAATTAAAATTCTGTTTTTGGGAATCTAACATAACAGCATTGCCTTATTACAGAACCCCAGCCTACTTACTGGCACTGGATGACAAAAGCACATATATAAACAAAAAATTTCTATATTCAAAAATGATTAGGGATGTACCGATACCGTTACTAGTATCGGTGCCAATACTGAGTATTTGGGCGCGTTCCGGTACCGGAACTTCCCTGCAGTGCCAGAAGGGAACATGCAGCCAGCTGCCTCGGCGCCTGGCTTCCTGATTAGCCGGCTCAATGCTGATTGGTCAGGAAGGAAGCTTCCCAGCCAATCAGCATCGAGCCAAACAGCAATTACCCACCTCCAGGGTTCCTTATTAGCCGGGAAGCCGGCTTCCCAGCCAAACAGCATGGAGCCAGCTTCCCAGGCAATCAAGAAGTCGGGTGGAGGGTAATGACACGCCGCCCAGCTTCCCAATTGCCCGGGAAGCCGGCTCCATGCTAGCGAAGTAGCGGTACTCTGCATCGGTGAGTACCGAAATATAAATATTTTTTTTAAACGGTATTGGTGCATCCCTAAATTATGATGACTGGGTGCTCCCTTTCACATATGTTATGATACAGTTTGTCCTAGAGGCATTGACCGATTTCACGTTTGGTTTTTTTCCACACAACTAACATGCTGGTAATTTACCAATCCTCAGGAAGTGCCTTTCATTTTTATGCTGTAGAATCCATACTAATATTCTGATGTATTGGGCTTTTACCCCACAACTATAGAACGTTCCTAAAGGCTGATGCATACCACACAGCATCACCGGATGTAGTAAAGTTTAATTTATTATGGTCAATGTGGTCAAGCATGCCAAGATCTAAATCTGCAACTATTCTCATCCCTTTAATAACAAGATGCTGGTTATTACTACTGAGAAGTTGTAAAAGTTTATTTCCCTAGTTCTATGTACCTCCTTTCCCCATCGTATCCACTTTCTCTTTTATCCTTCTTTTCCCCATTTCAGAAATTCTGATTGTTGAATCACTCACCAACTTAAGTCAACATTCATTGTACAAACATTGTTCAATGAATATCTGTAACCTTGTACCCTTTTCTCAAAAATTGCAGTAAAGAATAATTGAATTATAAAAATTGTATTTTTCTTTAAAAGGTTACCAGGTTGTTCTTGGTTTTTGCCACATTTGGATCGTCTGGCCCCAGTTTGGTCTGGTAAATCTCCAATGCTCTCTGGTAATAGTATTCCACTTCCTCATATTTGCCCTGGTTCTGACACAGTAAGGCCAAGTTGTTCAGTTGTTTAGCTACGTCTGGGTGATCCTTGCCCAACACCTGAACAGAAAGCAAACAGGGAAACGTACAATCATATACCTTTTTTTTTTAAATATATAAAGTGGTGTAATGCAATTGTATTTGTATTACACTGAACTGATTTATATTTCGTTCTGTTTAACTTTCACAAAATATGCCTATTTGTTAGTCATGGTCACTGGGAAAAGCAGGCAAAAGGCAGCAATTATCCCACACACATACTATTCCCCACTCAAAGTTTTGTTTCTTTGCCCTCAATTACCCTGTTGGAGATATTTTCCATCACCCAAACAGAAAGCAAGGAAAATCTCTTGCCAAATTAAAAAGACTAGCGTCAGTGAGAGTGTTTGGACATAGCGACAAGCTACTAGACCCAAACACAATCACAGAGAAGGAGGTCACATATACCTCCATACTTGAAAATGCCAGGTATTATGGGCGGTTGTGGAGAAGGAAGAGACAGGGAGCGCTGCTAAGGTGAGTAGGAATGGGGTTGTGGAGTTAAGGGGGGACTTTTACAACACTCTCTTGAAGATATGTTCTGCTTGGGAACGTCATATTCATTCCTATTCCTTCAGCATGACATATGGATGCAACGTTTGACACTTTGCCTGATGCAGGGGCCCTGTAAGGCTCCAAAACGTTGCATCCATATGTCATGCTAAAGAAATAGGAATAAAGATGACATTCCGAAGCAGAATGGTGTGCGGACAACATATCTCCTAGCTTGTATGCTGTGGCGCCATCCACCAGTTGTTCCAGCACCCGTTGGATTCTGGAGTACATCGGTATGTTGTGCGAAGGGGATATTACTACGTTTCATGACACACTGTCACTTTGCCCACCACGGCAAGGTGACAATGTCTCTTTAAGCAAAATCTAGATATAATGCAAAGGAAACAAAAAGGCAAGTAAATATATTTGATGTTATCTATACCTTTGAACAGTGAATGTAAAAATATAAAACATAAAAGGCATATATTGTTAGAGCTATACTTATTCTTCCGCTTGGTAGTCTCTGTCCCCAAATTTTGAATCCAAGTTATTTTCATTTATATAAAAGAATTTCATTTTTTGAAGAAATCTACCCTGTCATTCTTACATTCTTTCTATACATACAACTGAATACACACTCGTTCAGGCACCTAGGAAGCATCAGCCATGCATAAGGAATGTGTGCCTGCTGCCTCCTATTACTGCCAACATTCTTTCGTTGAAACGTGAAAAAACATTTTAAAATTAGTACAGAAATCTCAGTCAGTTTTATGAATCCGTCAACTTACCTTTTCCCGGATCTCCAGGGCCCTCTTACATAATGGTTCTGCTTCCTTGTACTTCCCCCTCTTCCCATAAAGCACAGCTAGGTTATTAAGAGTGGCTGCAACCTGCAGAGGAGAATACACAGCTTAATATCTACAGGCTCAACCAATGCATTACCATAACATCAAAGAACAAAGAGCCTCAGTGGACCAGCGCGGATTTAAATAATATCGATTCAGACTAAGTAGGAACAAGATGGACCAATATCTGCAGGAAGCGTACACAAGGACTGTGTGTCTGCTACTCTGAAAGCTTGGTCAGAGAGGACTTCTGTCACAAGGCGCAATAACTACTGCTCATATACATAAAAATAACCGACAGTAGAATGATGTAGCAATTACTTAAAATTCACCAAGAATATTAAAGTCCAACTCCATTTTACCTGCTCCCTCTCTCCATGGTGCCCCGCCCTTCTGGAGACACCCCAAGCATGCATTTTATGCTTATGTTTTTAGTATACTTCGATTTTTTAGATGTCTTCAGGCCAGTCATGCGAGACGCAGGGTCCTCTTGTTGCCTCCTCTCTGGTGGTGGGTGATCTTGAGGGCTTGTTCACACCAGCAGCCATGCTCAACCATATGGCTGCTGGTGTGCATGTGCACAGACAGTGCCGACGCGCTCGATTGAGTCGCACACATGGTTTCTTTTTTTTTTTGTGAGAACTTTAGTGAAATGTCACAAGTGACATTTAATCAAGTTCTATGGGCTCACCCCGGTGCACTTAGTGGTGTAACTCAATGGACATGCGTCTTTTTTTCAACCTAACTATGTAACTGTCACCACCCATGACAAGGCAAATTACCTTGTCTTGCATTCAGGTTGCTCTGGAAAAAAAAAACAGCCCAAAACACAGGTGGTGTGAACGAGCCCTGAAAGATGCAGAGAACGAACCTCAGCACCGCTCTCTGCATCATTACACTGAGTGCATGGAGCTGTGGTGACCCCCCCTCAAGGAAGCTCACTCAATTAAGCTGCGGCATTGTCCCCCCCTTTCCTGCACACTCCCAGAGTTGTACAACAAGCAGCCGTTCAAATGCTCTGCCATGTTCACAGTAGCCTCTGCCATAAAACTGTAATGTTGAGACAATAATGGAGCGCTCACGCAAATTTTGGCCACGAATGTCCAGGCCGAGTACAGTGCAGAGAAACCATGAACAAAGGAGATTTTTATAATTACACAGCCATGCTCCCTTGCCTGCCTACCCACTGCAGTGTACCAGCCTAGATAAATTCCAGTGCTTGAGCTTAGACATGGAGATGACAGCACAAGTTTCCCATTGAGACAGTGTTCCGTTTTGGCGATTGGCCCGCCCAAGCCCGAGTACTGTCGCAAGGGGGAGATCACGTATACAGAAGCACAGCAACTGTACGAGCACTGGAGTGGTGAGGGGGAGTGGTGTGGTCAAGGTAGTAGAACTACCTTCACAGAAGGGCTATCTGCAGACAGCATCACTTCATCCTGAATCTGCAAAGTGATAGTGTCTCTTTGAAAAGCACTGCTTACAAATGTCTCAAACCCTGCTGCTCCCATCAAAATGGCTGTACTGGTTCATGTGTTTATTGTTGCTACCAACTATAACAATTGTCCTAGGCAACAGCAGTCTTGCCTCAAGTGTCGATGTAGAATTTGGCACTGCTAATTGGCTATCAGATGCTTTTCGGTGAAGTAAATACATCTCCTTCTGAACAGACACAATCAAATTAATTTCAAGCCAGAGCAAGACGGATTTCTACCCAAATAATTAATTCTTATCCATTATTATGAGGGATCGATTTACGTCCACTAATTTTATATGATTTTCTGTGCGGAAGATTATTTGGCTTTTGCACTGTAATCACAAATTAAAAACAAATCAAACTGCTAATTCAATATTAAAAGCAGCATGTTCTGCCTGAAGCAGCAGTTCCTTTATTCCCATTTTACAAAACCTCCCTACTAAAAATTCCACGATTGCTTACTAGGATTTGCAAAGTCCCCTATCATTTTCATGTAGTGTGCCGCAGGGTAACATGATCGCACTCCCTTTCCAAAAAGGTTTAAATATGAAGTTAAAGTGAACCTGTCAGGCGATTTTAACCACATAAAAAAAAAATTCTTGTTTTGGATATAGAGCGGGGAAGGCTTTATTCCCCTGTGCGTTTATTGCCATGTGTGTCCTCACTAAAGAGATTAACTCCCTATTTGATCTGGTGACCACTTTTACCAGAACTGAAAATGATGAAAAAAAAGAAAAAAAATTGTTACGAAAGCAGGAAGAGAGGGAAAACCATCCAATGGGGACACCTGTTCCATGACAACAGTCTAGGAGAGATTTCCCTCACTTTGTAAAGATGTCCTCTGGCTTGTTGTGGAAGGGCGATTCATGGCAAAGTGACAGGCTCTCTTACACAAGGAATATTCCCATTAGCCGATAATCCCCTCCGCCATGCTCCCCGACACCACTGCTCCATCAAAACCCCTGTGCAAATGCCCGGTCCTTCTCGATATGAAGGCGCATGGATGCAATGCTAGGGCCTCAGCAGCCAATGGTGAGGCCCAAGCACTGTCAGCTGACTAGGAGGAGGAAGAAGTTAACGCTTTGTAAACTACGACACCATTCAACACAGATCTTACACAGGTTTGCAACAGAGTAGCAGGGAGTAGGACTAGGTGGGGGGGGTACATCTTACAAAAGAACTTGTCACTTTGCCCCGAATGGGTTCAATAGTAATAAAATTGGGAAAAGTAAACTCAAATGGCCGCTAGAAGAAGAGTTTACAACCAATGTATATAAATATGAATATATTGGGGGGTGGGAGGGGGGAAGAAAGAACATATGTGAAAGTTATGTCAAAAGCTACCCTTTGGTTTCAATGTTGCAATAACTTTAAATAGATAACAGATTCCCTGAGAAATTCTGCACCTGGATTATTTTAGATGAAAAAGCCTTTCATAATGATGACGGTGGTGGTTTTAGGAGGACTGCTGCTTCACCAAAAACATACATGTGTGCACGTGGAGCATATTAGAGCTGATTGGTTACTGAAGCGCTCGGAACTACAGAGTCATACCTGCTACATCTAGGCATCAGCCAATCTACAAGCATTCTCTCCTGTTGAGTTTAACATTAAGGTTTGTTAACACCAGATTAAGGCTAGAGAATGGGTTAGGAGGACAGAAAAGCTGTAAAATATAGCAAAAAAATAAATTCAGCTACCGACCGCTGGGTGATCCTTTCCCAAAGTCTTTTCTCGGATGGCCAGGGCATCGTTTAATAGATTGGCAGCATCTTTGTATTTGTTCTGATCCCTGAAACAGAATTTATGGAGAACACTTAAACACAATTAAACAGAATTGCTCTCTAACAAACCCATCAGCTAAAGCCAGGAATCTGTAAAGCAATATTAAATGGTACAATATAAATCAAGCAGGCATCTATGAATAGTACAAGAATAGTCATGCAAATTTAGGCAGGCCCAGGCTGAATCTGGCAACTGCCTAAGGGACTAGTAGCAGATTAACAGGTCAGCCTGGTCTTTCTTTCCGTTTAGGAGAAACAGGGGACTGCCAAATGACAGAAAATAGCCTTACGGCTTGTTCACAACAATTGTGGTGCGTTCCAGAGCAGTATCTGCTGGAACGCACAGCCATTGCTCAATAAACTTCCCGTTTGTTCTGGGGCGGGAGGGGATGTGGCGGTGCGTTGAAGTCAATGGCATCGCAGCCACGCTGCCCACGTTATGATCGGACGTGTGGCACAGCATTGCCTGCATTCCCTTCCACAGCGAACGCAAAAAAATACTGCAGACTATTTTTTGCGTTCGCAGTGGACCGGAACGCAGTCAATGTTTTGCTACGCGTCCGGGGAGCTTTGCCGGGGACATTGACTGCATTGGACCACCATGCCCCCTCCCACCCCAAAACGAAGGGGGAAGTTAAGTGAGCGATTGCTGTGCGTTTCAGCAGCTACCGCTCCGGCATGCACCGCAATTGGTGTGAACTGGCCTTTAATCTGCTGGTTTGCCAAAAGACGACAACATGGATTTTACCATGTGTATATGTAACTCACCTATACACCAGAGCCAGTATATTAAGCATTGTGGCGACATCAGGGTGATCGTGGCCGGAGTTCTTCTCCAGGTCTTCCAGAGCTTGCTTGCAGAGAGGCACGGCCACCTCATACCTCCCTTGGGATGCGTACTGAATCACCAGATTATGAAGGGTTCTTAACCGTGCGGGGATCTCATAGCCTCCTTGTTGTGCGGCAGCGGCTGCGCTGCTGTGCTGTTGTTGTACTGCAGAAAGAAATTAACACATAATTCAGATTTAGATGGTGATCTATAATGATAGTTTGGCGTTGGAAAGGTGCTGTAGGTTAAATCTCCCCTTGTATTACTCCCTTTCAAAAACCTAAGCGATGAGTCCTTTCAAGGGGAGCATTTGTATCTGCCTGCATAAAGTCTCACTCCTTTAACTGCAGGAGCCTCTATGCTCCTGCTACAATCTCCATAATCGAACAATAATGAATAAGCAGACCGTTAACGTTGCGACACCCTTAAATTGGCCATGCAGGTGGGCGTTGCTGGGAATTCCTAAGGCCTCTCTATTAGGTGGGTGGCCACAAAAAAAATAAAACCTGCCATGATCTACCCATAAAAATAGTAGCTTCGGGTGGACTTTTCCCTTCATGTTTAAACTTTGCTCCATTGTATTGATATTTCAACATTCTGGTCGGAGAACAAGAATCAACCATGCCAGGAGTTAAATGTTTAGTACTGCTAAACAAACAGACATACCTGTCAAAGGGCTGCTCAGCTAAGCTACTGTCACAGTCAAAACAAGTTCTCCATATATTCCTATTAGGGATCTACTAGAGGGTCTATGAAAGAGTATTTGTGTGCCCTGTGCTTCCCCCCAGCTGACTCCAAACATGAATATATGATTAATTAATAATAATTAATTATAAAAAAATTTAATTAACTTCATCTAGTGACAACAGTGGTTTGGAAGGAATATGATTTTAGCAGCCATCTGCCTATCCCTGGTCAGCTTTAACAGATTATTGAATGGTTGAACTTGGTCCATGAAGGAATTGGCCATCTACAGCACACTTACTTCCTGGTCCTTGGTCATCATCATCGTTGGGGAAGAGGTCATCGAGAGGCTCCTTAGAGGAATCACTGTCTTTATCATCCTGAAAAACAGCAACACAGGGAATGTTACCTCAGTAAAATCTAACATGTCCTTATAATCAAACACGCATACAGTTCCAATTACACAAAGAGGAATACCAACACAATTTTATTGCAATACAAGTAATAATTACATCACCTGCAGCCTTCTGCGTCTTTGTCCTTCACACTAAGCCTTAACAAATGTGACACCGACACAGAGGGATTCCATCAGTTTACACCAAATGTCATCTACCGGTGGTGAGCATTATCATACGACTCTGGATTAACCAGTCAGGATACACCCCAACCCATCCTTCTAGTCCAAGGGCGGGCAACTCCAGCCCTCCATCTGCTGTGGAACTACAAGTCTCATGGGGCATTGCAAGACCGACAGTTACAGGCATGACTCCCAGAGATAGAGACATGTTTGGAATTTGTAGTTAAAGCACAGCTGGGTGCCAGAGTTGCTCACCACTGCTCTAGTCTGTGCTAGGCACTCTACAAGGCCTATAAACACACCTTTATCATTAGCCCACTACCACCATTACAATCCTCACCAATACCTATGAAAAAAAATCACCCAGAATTGTCAACAATACCTATAATATTCAACAGTTGCGCACTCAATGGCACATCCCCATAAGAGGACATTGGGGCTGCTCAGGCCCCAACCACTGCCTTGTGAAGAAGAAATGCAGCTTCACATGCGACTCCCAAGTGCCAAAATATTTCCCTGGGCGGTAATAAAACCGGAATTATAGCACAAGGTAAGGCTGTGAAAAGAAAATAGAATATAAAATCATTTAGAAGAAAAAAAAAAAGAGAGAAGGGAGAGTGGGAAGCCCCCATAGTGGCCACAGTAGTTTGGCAGAACCTGGGAACCACAGCGTGCGGTGGGGTAGTAGGCATTCCACATACCTGGAAGCACAAATGGGCAGCCGGAAAGTTAAGTATATTGCCTCCGTTACAGGTATGCTTTTACATACAAATAGGTCCAGCGCTGATGGGGCCAGCTTAGTAAGTCACTTGGAATGGGCTGCGAGCAAAAGAAATATAGAAATGATGTATATATGCGCAGCACAGCCCAATGTACGCTAGGTGCTTTGTAGTGAGTCCATCGACACCTACTCCTAGGCTCCTTTTGCCGTCAGTCAAGCTGTGACTACAGGGTGGGGGCATAGCTGGCCGCACGCGGTGTGTGCCTATGGACTTGCACAGCTAGGTGCGGACACAGCCGTGACCATGCACATACAGGTGCCTTCACAGCAGTCGGCTAACTGATGAAGGCACCCGTACACGGGGGCAGCTTGCGGTATGGATAAATTAAATAAAAAGAAAAACTTTTTTTTTTTTTCCAGCAAGTCGGGCCACCATAAAAAAGATAATAAAAAAGGAAGGTTTAATGTCGCTTTAACTCCGAGTTCAGCGTCACTTTAAGTAGAGAGGCTTTGCTAAAAGATCAACCATATAAACTGTATTATAGCAGTAAAGCATGTATCATGTATCTAGCTACGCATCCTGTAAAGTCAATTAGTTTATATTAAAAGCTATATGCCAAGCTATAAATACAAGCACTGTAGAAGTACATGTCATTTCCTTCATTAAATTAGCTCTACAATTGAATCTGTAAAATGTCTCGTATATTTACAGCCATGTCTGATGAACGGTTTCTTTTCTAGGAGATACAATTCATAGATTCTATACAATTGCCTTCAGAATCTCCAAATCGGAAGCAAGGAAATGTGGATTGTGTGGTAAAAAGCACACGCTCATCTCTGCAATGGTCACCTGTCTAGAGGAGATCTTAAAGAGAGCCTGTCAGGGGAAAAAACAAACAGGCTGCCATTGCTGACCTGTGCGCAAAGGTACGAGCTTCCATGGCTTTCATCCCCACCTTTGGTGTCACTACCTAGTGCAGTGATGGCCAAACTGCGGCCCTCCAGCTGTGGTGGAACTACGAATCCCATGAGCATTTGCAAGATTCTCACAGACATGACTCCCAGAGAGAGATGCTTCATGGGATTTGTAGTTTCACCACAGCTGGAGGGCCGGAGTTTGGCCATCCCCGACCTAGTGAGTCAGCACAAAAATGTATAAAGGAAGTTCAGACCTCACTGAGTGCATGCATGTTCCCGTTCAGTGACTCACCAAATAGTGAAGCCAGGATCAGGTTGACATTCTGGAATATAGACTGAAATTTCTCAGCTAAGACAGACTGTTTGCAACAGATTTGGCTACTTACGGTGCCCCACATAGCTGTTTGTGTGTGCATTTAAGATCTATGGCAGGGTTAGGCAACCTTGGCTCTCCAGCTGTGCTGAAACTACAAATCCCATAAGGCATTGCAAGCCACAGACATGACTCCCAGAGCCAGTAGCATGATGGGATTTGTAGTTTCAGCACAGTGGGAGAGCCAAGGTTGCCTACCCCATATCTATTGGGTCTCGAAAGTCAGCAATGTTGCATACAAGCCATCAGTGATGATGGCATGAAAAAAGTATTTCTTCTAAAATGTAATTATGTACGGGTGCCCTAAAACAACCCCACTAGACAGACCTGTGCAATTGTATAAACGTTAGTACAGTTGCATGTTTTTTTTGTTGTTGCATATTAACACGCCCAGAAACAGTCATTTTAAAACTGAACTTAAGACATAAAATTGAATTAAAAAAAAAATACATGAAAAAATACATGATATCTTAGTTATTGATGAAGCCTGGTGGTCAGACAGCTTCTGGCTTCTTATGTCTTGGATACTCCAACAGCGAGACCTCCCTGCCATAGCTCCTGTCCACCTAGGAGTTTTATGCGATTCTGCCCATCTGTACGTGTTTCAGCTTCTTCATGCTACTTATTATGTAATAAATGTAAAGAAATGAATGAGGAGTGTGGGAACCTCTCATGATGGCCACAGTGGGTGTGCAGACCTGGGAATATAGCACAGAGAGTCCACCAAAAAGGTGTAAAATCTGGACAGGTGGTTTAACCTTCCAGCAAACGGTAAAATTATACTATAAATGTACTTAATGTGGTAATACACAAATATGCCTTTCTGTTAGTTTCCTGTAATGCCAAGAGGCTAGTACAGAAAAGGATAGCCAGGTGCTAGTACAGAAAAGGATAGCCTAGTATTAGGAAAGGATAGCTGTGTGTTAGTTCTAGAATGGGTAGATGACCTCAGAACTCAAGCTGTATAACTAAAAGTGCCATGAGGCATTACAAGACTAGCTACAGGCATGACTGGTTGCCTACCCCTGTCCTAGACCAAGCTGTACTGCCTAACTTTAGTGGAGGACAAGGGCCTGGCGGGGATGTCTGAATTACCAGACTGACAAAATTAAAAATCTTTTGGCAGCTGAGAGCTCAGATAAATGTATTCCTATAACTGTGCATTTGCCTGCTTGCCTCGAGTTCTGCTTCTGCTAAAATCATTTATCATATACTATTTGTGCCTAGCTAAATCATTATATACAGCCGGAGAGTACTTGTGCCTAGGTAAATCATTATATACAGCCGGAGAGTACTTGTGCCTAGATAAATCATTATATACAGCCAGAGACTACTTGTGCCTAGCTAAATTATTATATACAGCCGGAGACTACTTGTGCCTAGCTAAATTATTATATACAGCCGGAGACTACTTGTGCCTAGGTAAATTATATACAGCCGGAGACTACTTGTGCCTAGATAAATCATTATATACAGCCGGAGACTACTTGTGCCTAGGTAAATTATATACAGCCGGAGACTACTTGTGCCTAGGTAAATCATTATATACAGCCGGAGACTACTTGTGCCTAGGTAAATTATATACAGCCGGAGACTACTTGTGCCTAGGTAAATCATTATATACAGCCGGAGACTACTTGGCTGCCTGTAGAAAAAAAAATGGAAAAAATCCATATGACCTTTACAGAATCCTCAGGAAAAGAACGACTTTATTTGGAGAGAGAAATAAACGCATAAGCCACACACCGATGGAGAAATGTCGTCATCGTATTTCTTCAGCTGGTTCATAAATTCTAGATGTTTCTTCTCCTCCTCCAGTTGGGCCACGTACTGTTCGCTCCTCTGCAGCTTCTGTTGAGTATTGGCCAGCTCATCCCTCAACCACTGGTTCTCCTGGCACAGCCTCCTCACCTGAGCCCTCAGCTTCTGCTTCTCTGACTCCACTGCATTCAAATGGTTCGATAAGGCCATCATAACCTGCAAGAACAACACAATCACATTATCGTTTTCGCTGCTACTATGTGAGGTCTCCTTATCCCTGGAAGTTTTCACTACCTTGTTATTGGATCATAATAAACGTTTTTGTATAGGAAACCATTAAACACAGCAGTTTTACCAACCTTAGCCCTCACACCCATAGGCCTCCTCCTCTCCGTGCAACCTTTCCACCGAAGCTGCTTTTGTTCAATGATCCATCAGCTGCACTCCAACGTCATCACATACAAAGCAGAACCGGCCATCCTGCATTGTAACAGAGGATGCCAAGGGCCTTCCCACAACCCAAAGTGTCGAGAGGGAGAGAGATAAGGCAAGTAAAACTGCTTTTTAATGTTCCCCTAAACAAAAACAGGCATTTATCCCTTAAATTGCAGGTGGAGCCCCACTGGAAGTCTAAAATTTCTCCAGAGCTCAGGAATAAAAAGAAACCCTCAACTCCATTTAAAGAGCTGAACACAAATGTTACTAGGAGTGCTGGTTGTAGCGTTAAGCAAACTGCTAACAGACTTCAGTAAGCTTGAGTCCTGCTTAAAGCTTGATGAAAGCCCACTGAAGCCTCATAAGCTTGTTTTAAGCTACAGCAAGCACTCCAAATAAGATCTTTGTTCAACATGGCCAGAGTGAAGGTAAAGGGTCCTTTAAGAGCTTTAAGAAAGGTGCTCAATGCTTGCTGTATGAACTGTTCTTGAAGGGGTCATTCTCACCAAAATCGGAAGGAAAAATCGCGAATCAACAGAAGGTCTGTTGGCTTGCAATTGTACCATCCAATACGTTGTATTGCGATACTTTTTTTTTTTTTTTAAACGCATGCCAATGGAAGGGCACAGAAAAATGAATGCGTGTGAATGGGGCTAGTTCAAGCTGTATCCATAGCATTATGTTGCCCTGAAAAAAAATTAGCGCATGTTCTTTCCTTTTTCGGTAAAATGAAACGTAACGTAATGGAACAGAGTGGTGTGAACTAGCCTCATTCACATCCATTCATTTTTTGGTGCCATTCCATTAAAAAACAGAACGCAAAGCAATGGATCGCAACGCAACAGATCCAGTGTGAATTGCACATACAGGATTCACCTTGTAGGATAGAAGTGTGTACAGAAAGCTATTACAAAGCATTTGAAAGGCTTTTAGCAAGCTTCAGGCATCTGTGTTGAGGTCTTTTAAAGAACTCTTCAGCTCCAGTTTGCAGAGGTTAAAAAAGGAGCTTAATGGGAGCACCTACTGTCATTTTAAACAGCTGCAACACTAACTTGCACTTGTTGGAAGCCTTGTGAATCCTGCGAGGAACCTGTTTAAAGTGACTTCAAGCACTTCTATTAGGATCTGTTTTACATCCCCATACTGGAATTGAAGGTTGCTTTAAAAGCTTTAACCAAAGCTTGATGTACACATTGCTCATTACCATACTGAAGCCTGGATACAAAAATGGTGAGCGGTGGAAAGGGACAGCACTTTCTAAAACAGATTAAAAAGACTGTGGACACCATCGAGTTGGTTTACAGCAAATAGCGGATAAATCAATAAAGACTTCAGAAGGAAGGAAAATCCAATGTACCATCTAAAAGGGTGCTATAGAAAACTGTTAAACCACTCTTCGGAGATTGCTTAGAGTTGACATTTCTGCCAGCCCTCCAGAGATCAGATTTTCACTCTTATTCCCACTGTTTACTCCTAACTATTCTTATGGCCAGTCATTGGGCTCATATGCTATCAATTTTGCTAAAGGAAATTATACTCTCTCAAAATCACAAGGAGACAAGTGTGCACAAAGTTACTGCAGTCTGAAGAAAAATAAGTCACACAAGAGAACCACTGTTCGATGCTACAGGATCAGATTACATGCAGCCTGTTCATTCTGAGATTTTCATATCACAGGGGTCCCCAACCACAGGGCTGCAGACCGGTGGCCTGTTAACAACTGGTCCGCAGGCAGACTCCAGGTCAGTCCCGCTCCCAATCTAGGGCCGGAGAGGAGAGCGGGGCAGCACGGGCGTATCCGTGAGGAGCAGCACGGGCGTATCCGTGAGGAGCGGGGCAGCACGGGCGTATCCGTGAGGAGAGCGGGGCAGCACGGGCGTATCCGTGAGGAGAGCGGGGCAGCACGGGCGTATCCGTGAGGAGAGCGGGGCAGCACGGGCGTATCCGTGAGGAGAGCGGGGCAGCACGGGCCATGTGGGGAGTGATGACCGAGTGGAAGGGACATGTTATAAAAGGTAATGAGCCTTATAGTGTATGAAGCCATCTGCTAAATATCCTACCTTCATATTACACCCACAGCAGCCTGGACTCCCCATCTTATGTTATCTGCCGCACACTAATCACTACCACCCCCTCCCTGCCACCCCTAACACCAACACCCCACAGACCCCTCCCTGCCACCCCACCACCCTTAGCACCCCCAGACTGTAAAGGGATGTACGATCTACATCCCTTTACAGTTTACTAATTGTATCATTATAAATGACCACATGTGAGAAGGTCAGGGTTTTATTTCACTGCCATAGGCAACACTAACCCTAAGAATTCTCCCTGTCAAAGTATGGTAGCAGTACCTGTGCTTCACTCAGACCCAGTTCCAGCATCTCCAATGACTTTCGGATCATGTTGGACTTCTCTTCCACCAAGTTACTCTCGTCATCTTTCTTCAGACACTTCAAGGTCTCCAGGAGGCTTTGCAGGATGGAGTTGTGCTCATTTTTCAAGGCCTCCAGACCCTGGATCACCTGCTTGGTCTTTGAAATGATCTCATCTTGGGTGAGCTTCTCCAACTTATCTTCCTTCAGAAACACCATCGTGGACATGTTGTCATACATTCTGTAAAGAAAAGCACGACGGAAATTATTATTATACACAGCATAAGAACACAAGTAGATCCAAAGAATCTGGTCTTTGGTAGAGAAGTAAAAGGGCACCAGCACTTCAAGTGGACAATCACAACTCACAAATTATGAGTACCGCTTTTCTTTTGCCAAGAACAGAGATCACAAAATAAATTGGTGGCCACATTTTGCATGCTCCAGGGACCGAATTTTACAAGTCTGTATTTAGTTTTGTGTGTGTCACTATGATAAATCTCCCCCTCCCCCCAAAAAAAAAGTAGAAATCAAAAAGTGAAGACTTGCTTATAGATAATATTTAGAAATATTAGTTGTGTATTAGGAGCACCTGGAAAGATTTACCTATAGTCTTCCGAAAAACAGCAGTGACCTCCTGTGCTTAGATACTCTTGTTCTAGAGGTATATTTGCAAAGTGAGATCATCTAAAAAAGGCACTGCTGCCTCTGACTGCTAGTTTCACCGGATTAGGTGATGCCACGACCGTGCTGCTCATTATTCTCCTTGCTGGAGAGGAAGCTGTACCTGGGGACATGCAGTGCAAGAATCTCCCCGCTTCATTCATTTTGTGGATCTGAGCTTTCTCCACTTCCCCAGCTGCTTCCTGGTTTTTACTCCTCCAAATCATCAGAGATATTGTAACACGGGGAAGCAAATCCTTTCCTGTACCCAGATGTCCACCTCCACACAAAAACAATATGCAGAACAAGGTATGAAAACTCAGTTATTGGCCAAAAAATATCTGCTGATGGTACCTACATGCAACCCAGATGACTGTATTTAATGTACAGGCTTGTAAATGCCCCCCATGGGGTGAACCGTATATAAATCAATGGGATTAGAACCTCAAGATACCCTGTCATGCATTTTAAAACTGCCCAAACATATGATGTGAAAAAGATCACTGATTGCTTAACGTTTTCCACCGACAGGGGTAATAATCGTCTCTCACTCTATCCCAAAAAAAAAAGTTTCAGTTCTTTACTTTAAATGCTTGTTCACACCATATACAGTGCATTCCAGCACCATCTGAAAAAAAATAGTGCATGCAGCATTTTTTCAGATCGCACTGGACCGGAACGTAGGCATTGATTCAGTACGGGTTCTGGAGCGGGCGATTGCACTGCGGGTGGGGGAGTGTGGCTGTGGTGCCATTGACTTCAATGCACCGCCATGCCCCCTCCCGCCCCTGAACATAGGAAGCTGGCCGGGATGCAATACAGTGCGTTCCAGCAGCTCACCATGCTGGGACGCACTGTATATGGTATGAACAAGCCCTAAGAACAGACTACTAAGCAGGAAGCCAAACCTCCATATGTGCAAATATGGCTGCCCCCACCCATATAGAATTACAACATATACTGAAACATTGTTTTTTTTTGTCATACAAAACAATATTACACACTCAAAAGATCACACTAAGCTGATCATATTTACACATACAATATATATGAAAAAACACAGTTTCACTTTAAACCCAGATTTATTTTATTAGAGCATTTTGCAATAGGAAGGCTCGATTACGGAAGTGGGTGGTTTCAGTCACGGGGAAACCAAACAAGAAGTAATGACGACCATCTGTCCAAAACCAAAAACTTACTGAGGATTGCATTTTTCAGATTCTCTGTAGTAACCATTAAAATTATTCTACAAAAATGCAGCAAAATTATTTTTTTCGAAACACAATTTAAAATCTGCCAAAACCAATAAGGTTTGGAGATCACAGTAGATGCTGGATAGCTTGTTGTAATAAAAAAAGTGTATGTAAAGACAAAGTATTTTGTCTTGTTTTGGATGCGGTAGAGAAGGGTTTAGAACTCATCAGTTTATTTTTAGCTGCCTGTGTCCCATAGGGGAGATTTCACTTCATGTCCCGCCATGGAAATGTAACAAAAAGAGGAAACCCCCTCCAAGAGAGTGGAATGCCCCTCAAGACAGTTGTCACCATAACACCATAACAGATGTCCCCATTGAAAGATTTCCCATAAATTTTAGTTCTATTGACAACTGTTAAACGTTAGATTTCCACCACTTTGTCTTAGTGACAATTATATTATACATGATTTATAAATCCAACAATTTGCTCAGCACTTTAAAAAAAAAAAAAAGAGTGGCGACAGTACGGTTACAATACAAATCAATACAGTTTCAGAACAATAGGATTGGGAGGGCCCTGCTCGTCACGAGCTGTCACAGCTTACAATCTGCCAATGGTCAACAGGGCCAATATAGAGAGTAGGAGGGATGCACCGATACTAGAATCGGTGCAGAGTACTCTTATTCGCCCAAATGCTCCGATCCCTGGCCTGTTACTTGAATTTCCGATATCAGGAAGCCGGGCAGCGAGTCATTACATGCTGCCCAGCTTCCCGATTATCAGTGACGAGAAGGATGGAGACGGCTTCCCTGGTAATCGGGAAGCTGGGTGGCGAGTATTTACACGCCGCCTGGCTTCCTTAATGGGACTTCCAGTATCGGTATTCAGTATCGGCGAGTACCGGAAAAAAATATCGGTACTCTCACTCGATACCGCAAAACCGGTATCGGTGCATCCCTAATAGATTAAATCTACCTGGTGTGGTGGGTACGTCTTGCAATGGTTGTAAGCTTATTGAAAGCTTGTACGATCTGCCCATCTTGGACAGGCAGATTGTACTTGCGATCATTGAAAGCTTCCGATGACCGCAGTGAGGGGCAGGCTTCCGATCAGTGCATAACGGGCAGTGTGCGCGTGCGCACACCGGACCGTTTGGCAGTTGTCGAACAAGCAGGCCATTAACCCGCCGAAAATCGTACGATTCTCAGCGGGTTTTCAAGCCTGCTTGTTCGACAGAAGACGTGCAAACGTACAGTAGAAACGGTCGCAAGGCTTCCATACACTGTACAATTATTGTACGATTGCGGGATTTCCCGCGATTCTCGTACGAGAATCGTAGAGTGTCTGGGCACCTTTAGTCTAGCAAACAAAAGAAAAAAAAAAAAGGTTTTGGCTTTACAGACACTAAAAATCAGTTGTTCTGCCTGCAGTAAACACAAGCAAAACCAAAATATTCCCAACTAGGATGGCAAGTTCATGTGACATACATTTTCTTTTCAAATAAGAAATGATCAATGTATTGTGAGTCTAGTACCTGTAGAAAAAGTCCAGTATCTGTATAAGGCAAAACATTCTCTGCAGAATCAGTGTCTCTGCTACCCTACCCCTAACAAGCAGGGCAGGACTGAGCCCAGTGGGTGGTGTGTACCAAGATTGGGGCAACAGGACAAAGAACTATATATGCCCTTTATCCAATGCTCAATCTCCATCAGCCCTTAGGTGGGGCCGTTCTTGAAAATGCATCTAGCAACCCTTCCTCCTCTTTTCTAATTATTAGTTCTTAGTAAAGGTCTCTCTCCTGGGACGCACGCTGGGTTTTGTTAATAAGCACAGATGGAGCCAAGTACCTCCGGCGCTGCCCAGCTTTCTCGATATCCGGACAATAAGCCAAGAAATTACCCTCCGCCTGTTACTGCCATCAGCACACACTAGAAAGTATTGATTGCCACACTGACTCAGTAGCAAACCAACTGTGCGATTAGCAGAAATAACAATTGTCAGAGAGAAATTGGGCCAGGCATACATTTCCCATCAACTCTGAATGTGATGTGTAATAGATGGGGCCTGTCTGCACACATCCCTAATTCATCAGCAGGAACTAATGGCCAACTTAGATCCAGCCTTGCGTGCCTGCATTTTACTGTACAATAAACCATATTGCATACAAAGGCTTCTGCAGGACTTGTTTCTTCTGCAAATCATAAGTAGATGCGTCTGCTTGGTGTACATTCCAGTCAAAACATTCTGCATGTATTCACCTGTGTGCATGTGACGCTGCATTTTTACTTCTATGTAAATTGTGCTTTGTATATAATAATGCATTTATGTCTGCTTTTATACACTATTTCTTTATGCAGTGTCACAAGAGAAGTCAACATGGTGGTCTTCTGGTATAACAAGAGATTTTTTGGGGAAGAAAATTGGATGAACAACTTTCACTTGTTGCCCTTTTATTTTTGTCCAGTTTTAGTCAGGGTAGTGATGACCTACTGTCCTCGGTGTCCCCATGGGGGAGGTTTCCTCTCACTTTTGTCCCAGGGCAACCTAAAAGACTTGGCTGGGCTTTCACCTGATGCACAAGTTCCTCTAAAGAACAAACAAAATATAAAGTCACTTTGCACTTAAACTGCCTTGCGATAACGCGCGTTACGAATGGGCTGGCAACACCCCACCACGTATGACCTTTTTCCAATATGTGCGTTGTGCTCTACTATGCAATGCATTAAGTTACCTTTCAAAATAAAATAGCCCCACAACACACAGAGCAGGTGTGTTGCCATGTGTTGTGGCAATGAGTGTTTATGCATGCGCTTTAGTGCACATTGCCACAACACTATCTCTGGACACACAATCGATGCGTCCAGGGATAGTGGTGGATTCAGCACTGTGGAAACTGTTGGCGCTATAAAAACCCTGTATAATAAAAATAATAAATAACCGCATATAATCTTATCACATGCAGTTAGATGTGGTGTACAGGTGTTCAAATGGCGCGGCTGTCACCCGATCGTAAACTTGAAGGGGTGACAGCAGATTAGAGATTCCTGCTGCAAGTTCCTGATAAAAGGAATCCCTAATCGCAATTCAATAGGTGTGAATTGAGCCATAATGATCTTACATTAGTATGGCAGAGGTAAAAGTAATGTAGCAAGTACAGTAAACTCCCCGTTATCTAGCATGCATTGGTACATTCTGGATAAATGTAGTTTCTAGTTGCTTGAGAGTTACTATTAAAATTAGGTCTAACTAATGCCCTACCCCTACACCATACCATCACAAACTTTGTATTGACTTCATGTTAATATTGAAATGCAGTAATCAAAAGCAAAGACAAATAGGCACACGATCGTTTCCAGGAAAATACATACCACAGATCAGTAGA